GTATTGACCACATACACATTGTCCACCTCACTAACAAGACAGATTGTCTTAGTAGTCTGTAGTGAGCAATACAATACCTTCTAAAAAACCAGAGCAGAGCGTATTTTTCACAATCCACTGTAACACTATTTTTGTATAGCTGTTAATTTTGTTGTGTAAGCCATTTAATGTAGAAAAGACTCATCTATTTGTTATTGTGTCCACATAATGGCTAATGAATCAGACCCTTTTACTGCCATTTTATGGCGTTTGCCAAGTATTGTGCGGTTAGGCTGCAGTAAAGCAGAGCACCGATTCGTTTATTCAAGATGTGTAAAAGAAATGTTTTATGTTTTGTCTCCAAAAATAAAAGTCTGTTTTAAAAGAAGAGACTTGTTTTCCATTGTGATTTCTTTGGTGTTGAAGTGAAAAGTTGGAACAACGGAGCCAAAAATGCTGATTAGGGAAATGCAGGGGATGGTTTCAAAATATCTTTAATCATAAATCACCAACAGTCCAATAATTCACATCTGGCAGCAAAGCCTCAGGAAAAGCATTCGGCATTCGTTTTTACAGAAATAGACAATACAGGACTTAAAAATGATGACTGAGTTATACATTAGATCTTTTTAAATGGTTATAGCATAACCATTACTCTCACCAAATAAAGGAATGAGTTTTGGAGGATTGATGAGAATTAGAAGTGTAGAATTTATGCCAAAGACCACTGAATCTTTTATGGCCTGACACAAATTTTCTTTCATTTTCCTTCTCTGTGGCACAAATACTAAACTACAAACACAGCTGTAGCTCAAACTTATCAGCATAATTTAAACCAGAATTTAACTTGTATCAGTGGACAATGTTTTTTTTTTTTTTTCTAAATAAAAAGTAGTTAAAATGTCTTTTGTGTCATTGTGGGCGATTCAGTTGTCCTGTTTGTCACATTTCCACCCATTATATTTTTTTCCCCACGTGTTTTATATCTGTATTCTTTTGCTTGATGCAGATCAGTAGTATTTACAATACACAGGAAAATGAAAAACATTGTGTGGAAAGGCCACTAACGCACATCAGTCTCATTGTATGAAAGAGTGCCTTACGGTGAACATGCCTGAGGCTTATCTTCAAACACAGACGACTCATAGCAGCCACTTGGCCCTCAGAGCGTGTGTTTAAATGGTTACTGGGAATGCCTACTTAATCTGGAAATTAGTTTTTGTGGAATATGAAAACATTATACATTAAAAGCTGTTCGTGTACTGTGTAAGGCACTCTCTCCTGGACTTAAAACACTGCACATATCAAAATCAGGCAAAAAAGCCAGCAAAACCATTAAGGTAACAAAAAAAAAGAAGTTAAATAAAACCTCCCATGCCTCTTTAACACACTTGCACACACAAAC